TATGTCCTTTTTCATGCTGATATAGTTTGCAGTAAGTTCCTCATAGTTTCCCTGTAGTTTTTGGTAATTCTCTTTGAGCTCACTGAGCTTCCTTAGAACCATTGTTTTGAACCCAATATCTGACAGTTTACTTGCCTCTATTTCATTTAGTTCTCTTTCTGGGGATTTCTCCTTTCCCTTTGACTGGGGCGTGTTTCTTTGTCTTCCCATTATTTGTGAGACTCTTCTTTTTTACTGCTGCTTCTTAAATTGATCTGTCTTGATTTCCTGACTTTGTGGTGTGAACTTCTATGGTAGGAGACCACTGTTTTTTCTTTCTGGATCTGCCTCTGATGATATCAGATGTTGACCCCATCTGACCTTAGGCAGTCTGTAGGAGACTTCCAGGAATCAATCATCCGTGGCCATCTCCTTAAGCTGTTAATCTAGTCACTCTGTACTGAGCAGTCAGGCTGAGGCACCACAGGGCGGGTCAGAGTCCCTCCTGGGGGCAGGGTTATTGTGTCTTTTCATACTGTTGCCTCTCAGGGGAGGGGTCTGCCTGAGCCAAATGGCTGCTGCCATATGGGGAGGAGTTAGCCCCAGGATCCTGCCAGGTAATCCCTCAGTTCTCTCCCCAAAGCCTCCGTCTCCTGTCTCATCAAGTGTCTCTAGACCACTCTGTGCCTTTTTTAGCCAGGGATCTACTATCTGTGACTGCCACTCTGCACTCAGCAGTCAGGCTTACACACCACAGGGTGGGGTAGAGTCCCTCCTGGGGGTGGGACTATTGTGTTCTCTCACGCTGCTGCTGCTGCTCAGGGGAGTAGTTTGCCTGAGTAAGATGGCTGCTGCTGTATGAGGGATGAGTCAGCACCAGGATCCTGCCAGCTATTCTCTCAGTTCTCTGCCCAAAGCCTTCTTCCCCAGTCTCTTCTCAGATGTCTCCAGCCCACCCTGCCCCTGCCTTCGCTGGAACCCAGGGTAAGTGGCTGCAAACAAAAATGTATGTGTTGGCCCTTTAAACAGCTCTGCATTTCCAGCTGCCTGTCTCTGGCGGAGAACAACCCTGCTGTTTTTTGCAGCTGGCTGTTTTTCTGTATACTTTTTGGGCTCTGGCACTGTAGGCTGGAGATCCCCTAGGGTTCGGACCCTACTCTTCTCAGGGGGATCCAACTGGCTGTTTAAATATCCCTCTGGCGCTGCCGCCCGTGAGCGCCCCGCCAGCCTTCTTGAGTCTCTACCATGTTCCTTATCAGTCAGGTTGTGCTAGAGCCAATTCCTCTATCTGTCTGAGGTTATAAGGCTCCTCTCTCGCTATTGTTCAGTTGTTTGTTCCAGGTGATCTCTCTACAATTTAGTTGTAATTCCAGATTGGTCCTGGGAGTAGGTCTGTGTGACTTCCCTTCACTCCTCCACCAACTTGAAGTCTAGAATCTATTTCTAATCTGAGAGGTTCAGTGATTAGCGAGGAAAATGTTGCTTGCCAAAGCCCCTACTTGTAAGGCAGAATCAGGGGGAAGAGATTGCCAGGCCCAAGGTGCCTCTGGACATTCAATAAGACTGCATATTGTATGTGTTCATTCTCTGGCCAAATTGGATATTCGAACTTAGTCTTCTCCCATCTCCCAAAGTACAACAAACACTCCTCCATCACAAGTCATTGTTACTGTGTGCTCAGCTAATAATCCTATGACAGAGTTGTGACAGAGATAACATGGGCAACAAGGGTACGGGCAGAGATTAACTCAGGTAAATGATAATGCAAACAGAGAAAACAGCAAGTGCAAGTCCTGGATGGAAACCATCAAGCAAGACTCAGACAAGCCCTTGTTAGGGTCAGACAGTTCATAACTAAGAGACGACAAAGGAAGGGTGAACTAAGGTGTCAGGTCTCCATTAGTCTTGCCCCAAGGAGAGAAAGACACAAAAAGCCAAAGTACCAGACGTTAGGTTACGAGAACCCAAGGGCTGCGGCCCTATTACTGAGATGCTGATTCCGCGTGCAGCTCAGCAGATTCATAGTCTGCAGCTGCACCCTAATAAGATGACAAGGTGGGAAAACTCATCCTCATCAGAACCAAGGAGGCAATGAACTGTGCCTTAGGGACTCCCTGGGAGATAGGGGGGCAAATGTGAAGTGGCCTATGGTACTTTCTCCCAAGTGTCCCAGATTGTGTTCCAGGAAGATCACAGGGCATTCTCCTGAGGCTCAGGTCAGCTGGGACCAAACCCAGCCCAAGGGAGCAAAATGGACACACACACGGTCATCAGAGTGCCAGCAGAGCTGTCCCACTGTAGGAAACAGCTTGGATATTTCAGGAATATCCTGAAGGCCGGGGTGCTGGAGCACAGTAAGCCAAGGGCTAGTGGAAACAAGCTAAGGTTGCAGAAATAGGAATCAAATCATTCCAGGCCTCGCTGGTTGCAGTATAGAAGATGAATTTCATTCAAAACGTGAGAGATGTCATCGTGGGTTCCTCACTTGTACCAAATTACCACTCTGGTGCAGAATAATGGGAGAGGCTATGCACTTGTGAGGGCAGATGGTATGTGGGAGATCTCTTTTTCACCTTTTTCTCAATTTTGATATGAACCTAAAACTACTCTATAAAAATAAAATGTTTTTTAAAAAGTGGTTAGAAACAAAATTATAGCACTTCAAGTAAACATACCATTAAAAATGTGATGGAATGATATTGTAACAATACTGAACCCACATATTTTAATGCATATTTTAATGTTTTTAAATGAGCAAGTCTGGATAATGGAGTAAGTGGAGCAAGAATGTGTTATGAAGGCCAGTCAGGAAGCTCCTGCACACTGTACAGCCACACACACAGTGGCTGAGGTAAGCGAGAAAGTGGCGATGGCCGGACTGGGTGGATTTGACTTTCTGTTTTTGGAAATAGAACAAGAAATATCCACTAATTAAATTAGACTGGGAGAGGGCGTGGGCGAGAGAAAGGGAAGAAACAAGGATGACTGATAGGCATTTTTCTGGCTTGAGAAATCGGGAAAATCATGGGGAAAGTCAAGGTTCCAGAGAGGACAAGTGGGAGCAGGATCCAGAACACAGGTGGGAGGACTGGCCTTTTAAAGGAAAAAAGCTACTACGCCCATTAAATGAAAATAAGTTTCTATTTTCTCAATTATGTATAAAAAGTTAACAGCTTAATACTGAGGAAGGCAGTATTAAAGTCAAGCTAGAAAGTATGAAAAAATAGTAAAAAAAAATTATCTCAAAGGTGGAAAATGAGCTTCTTAGGGAAACCCAGGAAAATTGCTAAGCAGTATTGAAAATCCCCTTCAGCTCTGTAAGCATGAATCGGAAAATGGTCTATTATTCTCCAGCAAGGCTGAGCTTCTTAGGAACAGGCATGAAGCAGACATAAATCAAGCCTTAGTTGGTTTGGGTTTTAAAGAGGAATACTGTAAAGTCAGGGCAGAGGAAGTGAGGGCGTATACAAGGAAGCAACTGGGAACTCTGAATGAGAAAGAATCTGAGGACCAGAGGTGGGTGATATGTAATGAGACAATGAGGTTAAAGTGCAGAACTTCGGCAATGGAGAGGGAGGGGAGACAGGGAATGGAAAAGGAAATGCTCATAGTCAAGCTTACAGAAATTTCAGGGGCTGACAAGGATCTGGGCAGCTGTCAGCACTGAGGGCTCTAATGGGAAAAAGAAAATGACAGAAACTTCAAGGTCACGTGGTTAGATTTGTTATCCACAAGGCCAATGGAATGACTAAAATTACTGAAATAGTAAAGAAGAAACTGAGCCAAGAGAAAGTCTTGAAGGCATGAGCAGAAGGTTCTTCTGGGAGGTAAGACAATAAGGAAAGGAAGACGAGAACTTCAAAAAACTAAGGGAGAAATTACTTGGAAGTGGAACTAGAGCAAAGAGGATACCTATCTAACCTGCCCCTGAAGCACAAGGTATGAGTAGGAAAAAGCTTCTATTTTTGGCTAGAGAGTCCTAAATAGATACCTATGTTGGTAAGACGAGGAAGTGACTAGGATATTAGGAAAAGAGACCACAGATGTCAGAGTTAGTTGCTCTGAGCTTGAAGCTATCACTGGCCTATGTCCATGGAAGTTCAGCTTGCTGGTTTAGACCAGCAGTTGGCAAACTATGGCAAGCAAGACAAATCCAGCCTGCAGCCTATTGGTGAATGGCAATGCGGTAAGACTGGTTTTTACATTTTTAAAGGGTGGTAAAATATACAAACAAGATTATGTAACAGAAAGTGCATTTGGCCTGAAACATCTAAAATATTTACAACCTGGCTCTTACAAAAAAAATAATTTTTTTTTTTTTTTTTGTGCCAAGCCCTAGTTTATACAGAGATGCCAACAAAGTGAGTTACCAATACTCTTCCATGGCCGTGGGCTGCAGAAGCTAGACTCCTGACCTCACGGAGCCTAGGTTAAGGGGGCAGGAGTCAAGGCGGCAGGAAGAACACGTTCTATGGTCAATGATTAAGGGCTACTTGGGTCCTGCAAGGAGTGACATGACATAGTCCAAGATGGTAAATTCATTCATTCAACAAATATTTATCTGCTCTAGTTCCAAGCATTGTGACTTGTTATAAATTTTTTTTTTTTTTTACTTTTATAGCACAGGGAAAACTAGAAAAAATGTTTGAGGGGAAGGATGGTATGCCGTTTTCACAAGTTATTCGTCTAACAGTATGGCTTTTTAAATATCAAACCAGAAAAAACATTTATTATTCGCTGTACTGTAATTTATGACTCAATTTTTATAGCCATTTGAGACTAAATATGAACACCCAAAAAGGAAATTTTCCAAAGACTAAAGAAACCTCCATATGTAACCATAAAACCATACTGTCACACAGATTACTAAAGCAAAAGTCAGACAGCATCGGTTACATCTCTGCAAATGAAGTAATTAGAACCTTAAGAAGTTACAGAAATAAATTTTATTTTTAACTTTCAAAAGTAAAAATGCCATACCACTTTTAATAAATTGTTAACAAAACTTAGTTGATACCTAGTTAACCTCATACAGCATTAAATTTTATTTTTTTTCTTGAAAAAGACTTGCATTACATCCTTTAGAAATAGATTAAAGGATATTTGCACACAAGTTCTATGAAGAACAACATTCTACAGTATCCATGATATTCATGATTTTTAGAATTATGAATTATAGTAGATGCCATTTAACCTATCTTTTAGAAGAAAAAAAACCACACAGTCAGAAAAACTGATGCTCTAATCTTTAGGTCTGTTTCCACAAATAAAACCTATCACTTTTCACAATGAGAAAGCAGAAAATAATACACAAACAAAAAGAGTTATCCCTTTAACAAAAGATAGCTGATTACGTGTGGGAGACTAACAAAACAAGAATTGTCCCTGCATTTTTTTTTTACCACTTAACTCTAACTCAAAGATAATAAATAAAAATAATGTATAATCCATCAGTATATATGATTTCCATATCAAAATTTCCCTATTTTATAAGGAAAGAAAATAGGCTTAATGTTTAGGAGGACGATTACTGAAATATTGTTACTGAAAGGCAATTTTGTTATTATCACTGCTTAAGAAGTACCCACAGACCCTCTTAGAAAACAGGTTGCTGTCCAAGCCCCAAAATGTGAGATTAGGAGATCCTAAGTAAACATGAGGAAAAGAAGTAAAGCATTTTTTGTCCTTATTTATATTGCTCCTTCCAGCCCCAGATATTTAGATAAAGCAGTTCTCAAAGATTACTATTTTATTTTATTTCACTATATTTTAGCAACTTAATGTAAATAACATTCACTTTTAAATAAAAATAATAGTTTTTAAAACTGCGAGTGGGATTCTCATCTTGTAAGAGGGGCTAAATAGCAAATCCTTGTACCTAGGCAATTATTTACCATAATCAATTCAAGTGTGACTTGAGGTTCTCAAATTATTTATTTTCAACTCAAGTAAAGAACAATTAGGCCACCGCAGTCATTTCCTCATCGGAGTCACTTGATTCATCATTTAGTTCCAATTCCCCTAAGTCTTTGTCCACAGCTGTACCAGTTTCCTTCTTGCGCTTCTTGGGAACTGCATCATTGGCACACATTTTTCTCATTTTAATGTTTGGCAATTTCTTCAGGTCAAGATCCCATTCCCTACACAAAAGAAAGAGTATACAGGGTTGGCAGAGTCTGAGGTGGGGAAGTAGGAAAAAGTCAATATTCAAAACTCTGAAAGTAGCAAAATAATTTTTTTTAATTTACAGCAGATTCAAATACACTAGAAAGAAACAGTATAAATGCATTAAAGAGGATTCCCACATATTTAAACTCCCAAAGCAACACAGGAAACTGATACACACAAGTTACAAGGAGGCTCTGTTCCGCTGTTACCCTCCCCAACCTGAGCACTTCCGTCTGTCAGGCTCTACGGTACCAAGACTCTCACGAGTAGGAACTATATCACACCTGGCATATCTCCAAAATGCATAGTCAGAAAGGTGTTCTTTTTACACACAGGTAGTAAATCACAGGTAGGTTTCAGTAATCAAGCAACTTGTATGGTTATCATAGAAAATTTAGTTTTTCAACCTCAGAAATTTACTGTGACAATCCTGTGTTCATTTTCTTTAGCAGCAATGTGAAGACTGCTTTGAGAACTGAACTCCAGCAATACTAATAAATAGTCTAATGCTGGATTCTTCTCTCTCTTCTGGCTTTCTTCGGGAGAGGCAAAATGTTATTTTAGAAAAAAAATAGCACACACAAATGTAGCTAAATTAATTACTGTTTCAGGTAAAAACAATAACTAAGGTATAAAAAGAATCTTAAGCTCCATGTATCTAAATTATAAATATATATACATGAGCAAAAAAGTAAACTAACTTCTTAAACATGATTGGTGAATTTCCTAAGAATATTTTATAAGTATTAATAAGTACTAGGTATTTTTCTATGAATTCATAAGTATTAAAATATAAAATGAGCTTAAAGGTGTCAAAGAATATGAGACTTAATTTATCTAATTTGAATTAACAAAATTTCAGACCCATCAACACAGTCAAGATAAAAATATATATATTTTTTAGATTTTATTTATTTTTAGAGAAAAGGGAGGGAGGGGGGGAGAAACATGAATGTGTGGTTGCCTCTCATGCACCCCTAAATAGGGACCTGGCTCAGGCATGTGCCCTGATTAGGAATTGAACGGATGACCCTTTGATTCACAGGCCAGCATTCAATCCACTGATCCATACCACGAGGGCAAGATAAAAATATTTAATAAAAATCATTTTTTTAAAAACAAAGAAGCTGCCCTGGTGGGTGTGGCTCAGTGGATTTAGCCTCAGCCTATGAACGGAAAGGTCACTGGTTTGGTTCCCCATCACGACACATGCCTGGGTTGCCAGTCAGGTACCCAGGTGGAGGCGAGACAACCAAACAATGTATCTCTCACGCATTGATTTTCTCTCTCTCCTCCCTTCCTTCCACTGTCTCTAAAAGTAAATAAATAAAATCTTTAAAAAAAAAGAAAAGGAAAGCCATGTTAAAAAAAATTGACATCCTCCTCAGTGGTCTCTCAGTCAAAAAAGAGTACTATTAGCCCTAGCCAGTGTGGGCCAGTTGGTTGGAGCATCATCCTGCAGACCAAAAGGTCGTGGGCTCGATTCCTGGTCAAGGCACCTGCCTAGGTTGCAGGTTCAGTCCCTTGGCGGGGCACGTACCAAACAACTGATTGATGTTTCTCTCCCTCCCTTCTCCTTAAAATCAAGCATGTCCTCAGGTGAAGATTAAAAAAAAAAAAAAAGTGCTATTAGAGAAACCACGGACCCCCCGGTTCCGGGGACCTGCACCCTTTTCCAGGCATCACTTTCCATTAACCAGCTTCTCCAAAAGAGGGCACTGCAAACAGTCTGGGGTTTGACTCGGAACCATCAAACCTGTTGCTCTTACTTCTTCTTTTTAAAACATAAGAATTGGGGGAGGAATAGTTAAAATCGAGTTCTTGTAAGTATTACAGTAAGGTATTCTAAAATATTTTGAAAAGGAAATAAAAGCCTCATGACACTCTCATTGTACATCTGATGTTACAAATAGACACAACTTAGGAAAATTCTACTTTGTTTGATCAAAGAGAAAAAGTTTAAAAAACCTGATTTTCTGTCAACTCTGATGTCTAGACTCAAAAGAGAAGAAATTTTACGTCTCATGTATTTTACATGCTGTTTCAAAGAACAATCAAAGTAACAGACTCACCTAAAAGTTTTCAGATTACCTGCATTTACAATATCTGGAATCTCTGGGAAAGAAAATAATTTATATCCATTAGGCAAGGTTTCTAAATTACAACATTTCATAGTTTCCTCATTCATTATCTCAGAGGCAACAAATAATATTTGACAGCAAGAACATTCAAGGTAAAACAATTTCAAAGCAGTGTTACAATGCTATATGAAAGCCTTACAAGAATAAACAGCTTAGTTTAGGAAGGTGATTGAAGCAGAACACTATTAAATAATAAATTCTAGCATAGAGTCTGTAAAAGAAGACAAACCTACAGTAGTCCCCTCATCTGCAATTTCACTTCTCCAAGTTTCAGTCATCCGAGGTTAAGCGCAGTTCAAAAGTATGAAATGGAAAGTTACAGAAATGATTTCTAAGTTTTAAACTGCAAACCATTCTGACCAGCTTGATGAAATCTCGCAACATCCCACCCCATCCTGCCTGGGACATGAACCATCCCTCTGTTCCGTGCGTCAACCTACCTGCCTGTTGGCCACGGAGTAGCTGCCGTGGTCATCTGAACTACCGTTGTGGTATTGCATTGCTGTGTTCAAGTACGCCTTTTTTTTACTTAATAATGTCCCCAACACACAAGTAGTGATGCCAGCAATTTGCACAGGCCAAAGAGAAGCCATAAAGGGCTTCCTTTAAATGAAAAGGTAAGCACAGCACATCGGGCAGATTATGTTGCCAGACCATCTGAGTTTTTAAGACAAGCCAGAAATCTACATTTTTCATGTGAAATCACCAGATTTTTTAAATGTTGACAATTAATAAGCCAATCAAATACTATTTGTAGGCCATATGTATAGACTTTGGGTTATCACCTGGTTGTAGGTTTTGCAAGCTGTAAGTACCTTCTTCTATTAAGTGCTTTTCTTCAGGAAGTACTGGTAAACTAGTAACACACTTGTCTTAAAGAATGGTAAGAAGAGTTATTGTGCCCAAAATGAATATTTGATCTGTATAGTTTCTCAAGAATGACTGCAACAAGTATAGCTTGGTTCTACAAGAATTACAAAGACGAGAAGGACACAGCGCCTTCTCTAGAAACTTAGATGTAGTTGGAGATGGGCGCGTAGCAACTCTAACGCAGCACGTAGGTACGTCCCAGAGGGGAGAGGAAAACTGTACTCACAGGAGAAGGACATCATGTCGCTGTCACAACGGACAGTTTTGGGGAACGCAGGGGAAAAAAGAATGAATTGAAAACTGATTCCATATACTCACAAAAGAAAGGAAATCAAAGGAAGAAAATCAAAGTGAACTACTAAATGAAATAATAAACCTTTGAAACAAATTACAAATCTGATACTGCTACATGTTTTAGAAAGAAAAACAGAAAATCACAGTGAGCACACCGAGGCCATATCCTTCATACTGCTGCCGCTCACGCTCCATCGTCTGTCTGATGACTGTCTCCCGGGAAAAGTGCCGCCTGCCCTGCCTGTCTTTGATGCTGTTATGTAATTCAATCTGCTCCAGCTCACTGCTGAATCGGTTTAAATACCTGAAGAAGAAGAAAATGATCTGAGTTACAAAGTCTGTATATTCGGCTTATGTATTTCATTCAAAACCTAACCCCCAGCCTTCATCTGTCCTTTAAACGTTTAGATTCCTCTGAGTTCACGTTCTCAGACCTCACACCTTCCCTAGATAACGTAACCATTCTCAAAATTTCAGCAACCAAATCACGGCCTGCTATTGAAGTGCCTGTTTAACTCCCGATGCTCATTCAACCACCTCCTGAACGTCTCCGTCCGGGAAGTCCTGCAGAGGCTCAACGCTTCAAAGCTGCGCTTGTCCTCACCCCGTCCCCGCCAAACCTGCCCCTCCTCTTTTTCTCTCTATCCCAGGAAAGAGTCGGACCATTCGACCATTCATCCCATTGCCCAACTAGAGTGCTCTCCTTCACTTCTCCCCCTCCCTTTAGGGCACGTCTACGTTTTCACCAAGATCGAGGCTTCTGCCTTCTTTGTGTCTCCAGAATCCTTCACTTCTCTTTCACCGCAATGCTACTAATCTAGCAGAGGCTACCACCATCTCTTGCCTGGAGTGTTTAATCAGCCTCTCAAGGTCTCCTGGCCAGTCATGTCCCCCTAGGCCATTACCCTCATTCTCACTACTGTGACTTTTCTAAATTTTAAACATGATCATCTCAGGTGCTTGCTGTAAAAGCCTTCCATGGCTCTGAATGTCCTTTGATAAAGTCTAAATTCTTACAATGATAACTGAGGTCTTTCATGAGTTGATTGCCATCTATCATACCTGTCACAATTCCCTCCTCGAACCTATTATTTCAGTTCTATTAGATGTCGGGCAGATCCCTATATATGGCAAAGATCTCTCACCTCGGGGCCTGTCAGATACTGGTCTCTGCCTAGTGGCTCCTCAAATGACTTACCTCAATCTTCTGACTCCTACCCTTCAGGTGTCACTTTAGATGATATTTCCCCAGGAAGCCTTTACTGATCCCAAGGGATGAGCTTCCACTATGAGGTACAGAAAGGTTACAACCCTCAAGTGAAGAGGCTAGGGCACAGATCCAAAGGTTTTTTGACAACAAAGCCCATTTACTTTTTTCTCTAAAGCAAGATCAGAATTATCTCTTGAAGAACCAAACTGAAAAATTCCTTTTTCTGACTCTTTGCTCATAACATGCCAAGTGTTTACCTTTCAATTAATTCACAAGCATCTTTCTTTGAATAGCCTGCTTTTTTGGGATCAAGATGATTTTGAAACCACTGCAATTTTTCACCTATAGCAACAAGGGGCAAGATAAACATCACAGTTATCATTTAAGCAAAGAGGTATTCATTATAATTTTCAATATCAACGTGTTCTTAACAGTATCAAAATTTATTTCAATGCTAAATATAAAGCTTTGCGTAGGCTCAAAGCTAATTAAACCAGTCTGTAAGAAATTAAATTGTCACATCTTAATTTGGAGAGTAGATAGGAGAGGAATGTTCTTCTGTGTATATTTCTTACTCAATAAATATGCAGTAAGTTTTTTTAAAGGAATACTTTAAACATGAACATGAAATTTTAAGTGTTTAAAAAGCAAAGGACAGAACTTGTATGAAACTATAACATGAAGACATTAATGATGGAAATGGTATTTGCTGAATACTTAAGAAGCAGCAAGCACTAAGACAAGGGCTCCACAATCCTGTGATTTTAGTACTATTATTATTCCCACTCACACATGAGGAAGGTTAAGTCACCTGTTCAGGGCCTCACAGTTAGTAAATATATTAAGCATACAAGATACTCATTCCTGTGAGTAAATCAGACCATCACGGTCACTTACAGTGAGATTTCTCAAAATCAGAGATGAAGAAATGATACCCTACCTCAGATACTGATAATCCACTTAGAAATACCACTCCACTACCTGATGAAGTATTAGTTAAGGGTTCAGATACCTTTAATTTTAGTAATAAAGCCCAATAGTCACTATTTTGAAGTGTCAGGCTTATTAGTAAAAATCTCTAACAAATTTAATCCCCCCTTCTCTCCCATCCCCCGCAAAAAGGTTGTGAACACTGAGATACAGACTGAATATCTGGAAACATTACATAGGAATTGCTACTCCAAAAATACTTAGGCCATCATTCTAATGGTTAGACAGCTAATATTAAACTTCATTTATAAAAAGACAGACAGGTATAGGTAGGCAGACAGACAGACAGGCGGACAGAGATATATAGGTAAATAGGTAGCTAGGTAGTTAAGTAGGTGATTATAAACCTAACAATTCCTGAAAAACTAAGCAAGATATTATTAACATTATTCTAAGAGTTTAATGATTAATTTTATTTTGTTTTATTATAATCAAGTCTGGTAAAGAAAATTCACCTAGAAATATTATTTCACTAGAAGAGTCAAAACAAAAATAAGTATAGGGCAGAATTTCACTATACTCGAGACAAAATGTCAAAAAAAGTAAATCCACTTACCAATAAGATTAAGACGCAATGCTTTCTCATTCTTCAACCTTGGAAGAAAAGGTTCATGTGTTAGACAATTTCCAAAGCACATTTTAAAAATCTGTCAAAACAACAAAAAGAAAAACTGCCTAAAGAATCTTAACTCAAAGATCACTCTTTCAAAAATGTGAATTTAATTTGATCGATATAGAAACACTGAATATTTTGCTTCTTTTTTAAATCCCTGGGACAAAATGTTATTAGGAAATTTTTCTTAGCTCTTCAAAGACTCAAGGACACCTATAGAACAATCAGTTTTAAAAACACAAGTGAGAGCTTGACTGGATTATGAATGTTCAGGCAGGTATTGTATTATGCAGAATACTTGTGTACAAAAGAGTAATGAATACCATCTATAAGACTGAGTGCTGCCACCAAGACCAAAATACATTATTGTTGTCTTTCAAACTTTCAACAAGAACAAAACAGAATGTTCACTCTTCATAAATTTGAAAAAGAAATATAACAGTCCTGGCTGGTGTGGCTCAGTGGATTGAGTGCCGGCCTACAAACCAAAAGATCGTTGATTCAGTTTCCAGTCAGAGCACGTGTCTGGGTTGTGGACCAGGCTGCCAGTTAGAGGTACACAAGAGGCAACCACACAATGATGTTTCTCTCCCTCTCTTTCTCCCTCCCTTCCCTCTCTCTAAAAATATATACATAAAATCTTGAAAAGAAAATTATAACAAAGAAAAAGAACTCATCTACTCTCAGAGAACAGTCTAGGTAACATAGGCCTCCTTTTGTTGATATTCTGAATACTAATTCCTTCAGAAGAGACCTTTGGGTAGCTAGTGTTTGCCACACTATATGCCACTCACTAGGGATATACTGTCCCTGCCCCAACAAAGCAGACCAGATTTATTCTCCTACTTAAAACAATTAAAAAACTGGAAAATAAAATGAAGCTTCTTTTACAAAAATTTCTTTAGCCACAGAATAAAACATTACAATACAAAAAATTTAAAAAGGACCTGTATTCAGAACATACAAACAATTCTTCCTACCTAATGAGAGACCAAAAAACCCAATACAAAAAAGCATAAAAGATTTTAAGATTTCTCTCATCAAAGCAAAGGCATACAAATAACCAATAAACATACAAAAAGGTACGTAACATCGTTAGCCATCAAGATTACTAAGTGTGCAAATTAAAACCACACTGAAATACTACTATATTGGCTAAATGAAAACAAAACAAAAAAATAACTGATGCTGCATGGTTCAGTGGTTTGAGCGCCAGTCTGCGACTGGGAGGTCACAGGTTCAATTCCCAGTCAGGGCACATGCCTGGGTTGCACACCAGGTCCCCAGCTGGTGAAGTGTGAGAGGGAACCAACTGATCTTGCACATGTTTCTCTCCCTCTCTTTCTCCTTCTCTTCCCCATCTCTAAAAATAAATAAAGTCTAAAAAAAAAAAACCTGATAATGTTACCGTACGTCAGATGGAGTGCAGGTGAATTTCCCTCATTGGCAAAGTTGAGGCAGGGGGAGGTTCTTACACTGAGCATGTGAAAAGCCAGCAAGATAATTATGTAGACAAAAAAAGCCTTCCTTTAAGTACCAGACTGGGGATGGGACCACAGGAAAGCAGGCACATAAGCCACAGAAGTCAAAACAGCACAGGGGGAGGTGCTGGGCCAAAGACGCCTGTCAGTCTAGTATGGGGAAAGAAGGGATTGGTTGGAAGGTGACCCCACCCAAATTGTGCAAAAGTGTGGGAAGTTGATTGGTCATTTTGAGAAAGCACCTGCTCCATCCCAAACCCAAGCTAATGAAATCCCAGGGGAACATAGCTCTCTTGTTTGTGACCTGCACTCACACAGTGACACAGTGGACACTTGCCTGTCCTCTCCATGGCCATGTGGCTCATGACCTTGAGGAGGGACCCTCTCGCTCTCTCTTGCCCACCTGGTGATGCGCTCACCAGCGCGTCCCACGCTCTCGTGGGAGCACACAATCCTGTGGCCCTAACGGCCGCATGACCCATGGCCATGGGGGCTCCACAAGGGACCTTGAAGTGAAGAGCAGCCAGAAATAAAAGCAGCTACCTGCATGGGGACCAGGACCGCTTGGCAGCCACCTGCAAGCTCCACAGGACTCTACTTTTAAATGGAGAAGGAACTCTGGACTCTGGTTTTATGCTGGTCTTGCGAAGGAAACAGGCTGTGTGGTAGAAACCCACCATTCTCCCAGATCCTGCAGCACCTGAATAAAACCTCTTTCCTTTTGCACCTGCATCTGCCACATGAGTTTGGCTTTTATGGCAACAGGGAGCCGAACCTCCATCTTTGTTTGGTTAAAATAATACAATGTGTTTTAAAGGATATGGAGTAAATGTAACACATACACTGATGGTTAAAATCTAAAATGGGACAGTCATTTTGGATAAGGCAATTTCTTACATACTTAAACATTACACCTCTCATATAACCAACAATTCTTATAAACTTAATTTCTTATAAATAAAATGTCTTATATTCTTAAGTATAGCTCTACCATGTGACCCAGAGATTCCAGTTCTAGGAACTAAAATAAAAATAAAAATATATATCCACACAAATATTGTTTGTGAATGCTCAGGACAGCTTTATTTATAATAGTGGGGGCCAGCAAATTTTTTTCTTAAATGCCCAGAGAGTAAGATGTTAATACTTTGTAGGCCATGGGCCTGTCTCCATGGCAACTACTCATCTCTGCCATTGCAACCCAAAAGCAGCCACGGACAATGCAAAAGGAATGGGCATAGCTCCCTCCCAAGAAAACTTTTTTTTAACATGAAAGTGAGGGCTGGTCCCTTAGTTTGCAGACCCCGATAACAGCCAAAAACTCTAAACAATCCAAATGACCATCAACTTGTAAACAGATAAACAAATTGCATATTCATACAATGGAATACTATTCAGCAATAAAAGAGAAAGACAACTAATATGTAAAATGACATGGGTAAATTTCACAAACCTCATGCTAAGTGGAAAAAACTGGCACAAAATATTATATACAATATGATTTCATTTATACGAGACATTAGGAAAGACAAATCTCATCTATCAAAATAAAGAGCTGGGGGTGAAGGGGAGGGTTGTATGGGAAGATGCTCAGGGAATGTTCTGGGGGATGAAAATGCATTATATACTAATGATGGGGGTTACAACAGTGTATTGTCAAAACCCCAACTCTATACACTTAAAACATACCTGTTTTATTGTGTTATTCATACCTCAAAGTTGATTTTTAAAAAATAATGAATACTTTATAACAAGGTAGAAAACGGCTTTGAGAAAAATTCATTCTTTTCCAATAAGCCTGGAGGGTAGAATCTAGTTAGAAATCAGGTCGAATGAATTCAGTGAGGGCCTAAACTAGAGAGGTATGAGTTGGGATTAAGAGAAGTAAAGAAACACAAGATTAATTCTCAAAAGTAGTTATTTCCTAGGTATTTACCAATTAAGCTTCATTTCCCTTTGTTAATTTTTCATACTAAGTCATTTCATTCAGTATTGAGAACTCTTTACTACATTCCCTGGAGGATGATGTGTCAGTTCACAGCAACAAAATACTGAGAGATCCTAAAATAAAGCTAGAATCACGATACATGGCCATTTGCTGCCTGATGCTGAGATCCTAAAGTAAAGCTAAAACCATGATATAGCCGTTTGCCGCCTGTAAACTGAACTTTGCTTGAAATGTGCTAGTCTTTAAATCATACTAGTTCCTTTTCATGTGAATGGGAAGTATTTCACATAGTTCTAAATTAGAGCATTCAAATACTGAACCTGAAGAACATGTCTGAACTCTTACTCTGATGCTGTCCACTCCTGCAGCATCTTTAAGTCATCAGAGGCCATCAGCAAGAGCCAATCTGACCAACCCGGCAGGTCTGGTTTTGTAGCCTTCACCACTGGGGAAAGGCACTGCACCCTAACACACACCTTCCCAGGTCCCTGTCCCCCTTTCTCTCTAAAAAGAAACCTTAGGAAGTGGTACAAAGAATCCTGGGTTCTGTGAAAAAGTATAGAGACTAGATGCTCCAAGCTGCCTGGCTACCTTTGTTCCTTAGAAAACCAAATGTCTTTGGTAGGCAGACAGTAACAAAAGGTGGCAGTATCTAAAATGGTCCCCACAGATTCCTGCCTCTTCACATTCATGTCCTCACTCTCCATCCCATAGTCCTTTTTGGTTTTTCTTCACTGCACTCGTCAGAACCTATTTAAATGTATGTGTGTTTTAGATAAGCTCTGTAAGAGCTGAATTCTGGTTTACTGTTTTACCTTCAGTGCATAAGACATACTTAACATACTTATTAAAGGAAGAAGAAAAATAGTGATGAAGGGGAAATGTGTAAATGTACTTTTCACCAACACGTAATACAAATAATAAAAAGACACTTACTTCTCCTTTTTTTCTTGTTTGTGGGCCTCCCTCGTGATTTGAGCTGCTTTTCTACTATACGGATGGATGACTTTTTTTTCCCGTCCTACATTTTTTCCCTTTAGTGCTTTAGGCTAAAATGCAGGAAAACATATGACATGTAAGTCAGATACATAGGATTTCTGTCAAAAAGTTTTACAAATTTTTTAAAATTTTGAAATTTTAAATTCAGATATAAATGTTAAAAACAGTAACATAACAGAAATACTTTGAGATAGAAACACTACACCAGGACTCAGGAGATAAGCCAGACCTGTTAAATAATTCAAACAGTCTTTGTTTCCATGGTCATAGTAGAAATGATCTATTCAGAAATATTCTCCATGATGTAAAAAAATAAAGAAAGGGTCGAGAAAGCCAGTTCTACAATTGTTCCATCCTCAAAATAGACACAGAGAAGCAGATAGTGAGGGGACTCACAGCTGGAAATCTGTTACAGTTAAGAAAGTTAAGGGGGTGGCGGGAGGAAGGAACACAGGCTGCTAATGGGAGCTTGACTGGGGAAGTTGTACATGGAACAGAGTGGGCGGTGAATCAAACAAAATCGAAGCTGGGCTCCTAGGAAAAGAGGAACAGAGGAAATACTAGAAGCCATCTCAAAAGAAGCATGCCCAAAAGGAAACAAATTATTTTCCCTTTCAAGCTTTATGCCAATTAACTAGGTCATAATTCATTCCATTCTCTAGACATTTCAGTAAGTCTTTAATCCTGTATGACTCTATATCTTATCACACCTATTATTATTTAGGAAATAGATCTGGCTTCCTATAATAAAAAAAACCCAAACAATAACAACTTAACCGAAAAAATTTAGTTCTCATGGAAAAAGTAGCAGCTGGAGGCTCTGCCCCATTAGTCCCTCAGAAATCCAGGCTCCTTCCAGCTTGTTATCTACTATCTTTAGGCTATAACCTCCTGCACCTACACATGGTTCAAGACAGTGTACTACCAAGCCTAAACTCCAGCCAGTGAGCAGTAGAAAAGAAAATCAAAAGGCATAAGAGCAAGATCTGGGAAGTTGCTGAGCCTTCTGCTGACCAAAATTTAATCAGAGCTGTATGAGGGAGAAATGTAAATATAACCTTTATTCTCAGAAAAAAAATAAATTACTATAGAAGAAAAAGGAAGAGTCTATTAGAAGACAGCTAGCAGTCTCTAACATACCTAATATTCAAAAAGATCAAGTGTTTCTAGAATCTTCTCTTCAAAATACTGTCATTGCCTCAATTCGGCCTCATGCTCCTTCATGACAGGGGTGGCCTTCAGAGGCCCCCTTCTGACCCTTTCCTCAGAGGGCACAGAGCTTGTTTTCTCTATAACACTGACTCTACTAGCTCATAGCTAGGTCCTCAGTCCGTAACATGGAAAACAATCTACCTCAACCTACTTCTCCATTATTATCTCTCTTCCTTCAAAATATCCATCTTTCCATTCTCACTGAACTGCCCACCATTTCCAGAACACGCCTTGCTGTTTTACAACTTCTTGAGACTGTACTATTTATCTCTACCTGCAAAATCCTTTTCTTTGCTTGTCCTTTGGTAAGACACAGCTCAAAGTCACTTCCTTTGTAAAATTAATGAACAGGACCACCAATTCCTTATTCACACATGTATTCATTCCTTCAACAAATATTTAGTAAAATATTTGACAAAGATTTTCTGCTCACTTCTTGATAAACGTGGCCAGAGAAGAGAGCTCCAAGTCTGAAACCCAGATGGCGCTGTTGGTTGGTTTCAGGGAAAAGGGAGTTAAGAGTAAAACCATCATAAAACAGTATGTGCATTCTTTTGTGTGTCTCTGCTCACGTGGAGGTGAGAGGCAGTGAAGAAGAAGGTGTGAGGAGAATTTTTTGTATGTGAAGCTTACCTAGTAAACATGAATCAAGTAAAAACTTCCAGAACTGATGATTGGCTGCCTCTAAGATGGCCCCCCATGAATCCCAACCCCTGATATTCATGCCCATATCTAATCCCCTCCCCTTGAGTGTAGACCTAGTGACTCGCTTTCAATAAACAGCATTTGGCAAAAGCAATGAGATTTCAACCCCGAGCTTAGGTTTTGAAAGGACTCTGGCTTCTGTCTTAGCTACTGTCTGCTGGAGACCAGTTCTCATGCAGTGAGCTGCCCTAGAGAGAGGCCTATGTGACAACTACCTGGAGACTTCCAGCAAAGAGGCAGTGCAGAACTGGGGCCCCCAGTCCAGAAGCCCATGAAGTGCTGACTGTACCAAGAATCATGGGAGTGAGCTGGGCAGTGGATCCTCTCCAGCTGTGCCTCAGGGTTAAGTCACAGCCCAGATTATACCTTCATTGCAACCTTGTAAGAAACTCAGAGGCAAAAACCTGGTAAACCATGCTTGATCCTTGACCCAGAGAAACCGTGCAATAATAAATGCTATTGTTTTAAGCCACTAAATTTTGGGATAGTCTTGTTGCACAGAAAGAGATAAACTAATGCAAGACCAAAAAACCAAACAAAAAAAACTAAAGCCAAAGTGTGCTCTTTGAAAAGATACTTGTTTCACTTCCTAACAAACAAGTCACAAAAACCTCAAGAAAAAAAAAAAAATCTCTGAAGCTGCTAAAACTTAACTGAAGTTAGAGATATGTAACACTGTTTCAGCAATGTTTATGCATATAAACATTTCCTTTAAAGACTTAGAACTTTTTTTAGAACAAGAAATACTTTGATATCCTTAGAATATGAAAATGTCCTCATAGTTTTAGAAGATCTCAAACTCTGCGACTTAAAGAGTTGTGGCTAGGCTTTATACAAAGAATGTATAAAGAAGCTGAACTTGTATTCTCACCCAACTATAGTTTATAATTCCTTATAATAACTTATTCATAAAACAGTTGCCTCAAGGCAGAATATATACACATTCAGGCTCATGATAATCATATATATATATATCAGTGTGTGTGTGTGTGTGTGTATATATATGGCACAGAAAAATGTATAAGACACTACACTTCAAAACATTTTCCTATTTTTCAATATGACAATAAAAAAATACAACAAAATGCTTCAACAGGAAAAACTGAATTAAAACCCTATCAATAAAATGTTAATCTATTAAGCAGTCTATTCAAACTAAATATCTTAACTAAAAAGTAATTCATCTCTATTATTCAGGGGTTCTCCAAATTTATTCTGTACAGCATCTGATGATTCATGAATAGTATGGAACATAAACTGGGGGTGAGTTTAAGGTGTATTTTTTATGGGAGATTAACATTTTATGTTTTAAAAGGTACCAAATTTAACTTTTAAAGATATAGCAAAAATACAGTATCTCTTCATAGGCATAACTAATAGACTGTTTCTGAATAGATGCAACTACTTAGAAATGTTTCTGGCACCAAAGAAATATTCTAGTCAGAAAACTTGTATTGAAAGTATCTCCTTCCGATAATCTTTAGTGATTATTTTAGAAAATTTATTCTAAACTATTCTTTGAATTCAGAATTGCAAGTTACAAAAGAAAACACATAGTTTACTAAAAAAAAACAAAAGCAACAGAGGGAGTTATTTCAGGGGCACCATGTTTCATATATTCCCATTAAAAGAAAAAAATATAAAAAGAAACAGGGTGTAGGATTGTGTTCTAAGGGTAAGTGGGCGGAGGGGAATGGATGAAGGTGGTCAATGGGTACAAACTTCCAGTTATAAGATGAGTAAGTTCTGAGGACCTAAGGTACAACATGGTGATTATAGTTAAAAATATTGTACTGTATACTTGAAAGTTACAAAGGGAGTAAATCTTAGAAGTTTTCCAACAGGGGAAAAAGGGTAACTGTGAAGTAGAAGATTTGTTAACTAAGCTTATTGTGCAAGTAATTTCACAATATAATCATATATGTATGACAAACCATCACATCATACATCTTAAACTTCCACAATATTATGTCAATTATATCTCAGTACAGCTGGGAAAAAAAAAAAAACGAGAAGTATAAGCTCACACTTATGGGTGTGGCCCCAACAGCACACAATTCTTGTCATTAAGGAACATGTAGAAAGTCAATTATAATTAATGCTTATAGTAATCAAGGGAGAATGATAGCATACTTTTTCATGGTTTATAATCTAGCCAGGTAAATAAGCACATTTATACTCTATAATAACAGGCTTATACAAAAAGGAGTATACCTGTGAGTGCCCAGTGGCCTAATACACACCAAAATTAAAAGCACTAAAACCTTTTTAAAATGCAGAATAATAAGTGTTGGGTGGGATGAATTAGTTTGAAAAGATTCTTCAAGTTAGTTAAATTTTGATGTAAGGAAAAGATATAAACTTGTGAAGAAGCTCTAGGAAAGATTCACAGTAAACAAAAATAAATGATCAAGAAACAAAAATAGACAACTACAAGCTGTAATGTCACTACTGAGGACTATCACTGAAGTTCATTAACACAACTAACATTTACTAAATAATGGATCTAGGAATAATTGGTTTGCATTTAATTTTCACAATAATTCTCTGAGATAGGCATTATGGTTTCCCCATGTGAACAGGTAGAATAACTAACAGGGATTAAGTAATTTCACCAAGATCACAATTTAATAAAGATACAGGTGCCAAACCATCTTCTGGTATGCCATAGCCCACATTCTGAGCTGTACTGAAAGAAGTTTAGAGTACCTATTGTAAAAGTCTAGATGGGAAACCCCCAGTTCCAAGCTGAGTTCAAATTCAAGGGAGGACACAGCAGAGTTGCGGAAAATATACCAGTAAAATGAGAGGGCAGAAAATGTGCCAACGATCAAAGATTTATATGCCATTGTTTCGACTCTTGCAACAAGGCAATACACTCCTACCATACAGCCTGACAAAGGTTCTGATAGTCAAAGTCTGCAGGCCAATGTCAATCAACCCCTGAATCACTCACATACCATCGCATTATTGTTTTTTATGTTCCACTCTGAAAAGGCTATAATATAAAATTATAAGGGGTTGGAAAGAGGACAAGTATAGTGATAAACAAAAACTGAATTTACACAAATGTGTATGTATACAATCTGAAGCAAAACGACTAGATAGATATGAAAGACAAAAATAGCCAGACGACAAATAGAAAAAGGACCAGAGAAAGAGGAAAAAAGATGTTGCAGCCAGAGCGTCCTACTTCCTATAATGATTTTATTAAAAACTAGTTGAAAAGTATTTGTAAAACATGTTCTTATTCAAGAATTATTCTCAAAAACATAAGAATCGGTGAAAAAAGAAACCTTAGAAACAACAAATAGTTTTGTAACGCAAACTTAACTAGCAACCATTAAGAAAAGTAAGTGAATTATAAGTACATTACTTGGATACTGTTTACCTCTGAGCGTTCCTGATGGTTAGTTTCAAGAAGGGGAACACAGAGGTTTTCAAAAGCTATGTTGTTTTATCTCCTAAACTGGATAATGGATTAACAAGACTTCCTTACACCGCTAATCTTTATACTTAAGTGTTATATAAACACTCAGGTCTCGGTTTTTAATAAAAACAGCTTAATAAAGTTTCAGTGCCTTAGCAGGAATGGGGCGTCAAGGCAAGATTTAGGGCGTGAGTGGGTCCCTAGACAGCGGTGAACAGATACCAAGAGACGACCGGGCCCACGCAGTCTAAACCGGGAAGAGAAGGGGCACGAGGGTGAGGAAGCACGTGTTTACGAGTTTCGCAGAATAGCAAGTAAATGTACAGGTGCAGATTTTCCCCCGAGGGGGCAGTGATCGGTAAGAAGTTAAACACGAGGCGAGAAGCAGCAAGGCGCCCGGCGAGCACCGAGAACTCAGAAACAGAGTTCCAAGGTCCAGACGCAGCCTACCCTCCTTCCAGCGGCTTCGCCCAGCACCTCCAACCCCAGCGTACCACCCAGTGTAATCATTTCGCATCCTCCCCTCTCCCAGCTTCCCAAAACCACGCCCTTCCTCCCCCATCGGGAGCCTGCTCGCGAACCAAACAGCTTAAAAGGAGCGGGAGGGGGCCCACCATGGTGACGTCCTCGCAGCCCCGGCCGGAGCATCTGCACTCCACACCTGGGCAACTTCACCTACTGCAGCACCAGCAGCTGACAGCAGGACCCCGGCCCAAACACGTGGAGCCGCAGAAACCTAAGGCGGACCGGACAGGAAAAGGAGGGGCGAGTACGTCTCTCTAAAACGTCCGGGGGGAACCGAGACCTGGTCTTTTTGGCCCGTGGGACTTTTAAGTCCTAGTCCAGCAGGGGGCCTCCCTGCGTCCAGGGGAGAGTGCGCTGGGAGGGCGCTTGGGGCCGGAGGGTGAACCTGGCCCAGTGCGAACTGCGAGAGAGAGATTTGAGCCAGGCTCCCCGACGCCTGCGGCTACAGACCCCCAGTGTCGTAGCCGGATCAAGGGCAAGAGACCAGGTGCACAGCTCCACAGCCGGACGAGGCTCTCCTCTTGGGGGCACCGGCCTCGCAGAGGCTGGCCCCTTCCCCGGAGGGCTGCTCACGAATGACAACATGAATCCCCCCAGTTCTCTTCTTCAATCCAACACCCCACCGCCAAGGGATCACTGTAGATGGTTTGGAGATACCTTTAGAGATATTTTCCTATGCTTTAACAAATACACAGAGATGTATGTGTTTGTATATAATGGTTAAGTATTTGTTAACATTAGATATTGACACAATAAGAATACATGCTTAATTTCCAGGGTAACCATTAAAAGGATAGAAACAGTGTGCATAACGTCTAATAAGATACAAATAAGTAGAGAAAATCAATAGGATAATAACTAAAAAACGAATTCAAAGCAAGGAAATAAGGAGAAAAAAAGAAACAAGACTGTAGGGAAAATAGAAAACAAAAATAGGGTGGTAGATTTAAATCCATAGAGCAATAATTGTGGACTAAGTACCGTAATTAAAATATTAACACGACATTTTGGATTTAAAATGTAGACTGTGTCCTGTTTATGAGATTTCTAAAATATTAGGAAACAAACTTTTAAAATCAAAGATAGAAGAGGTATGCTAAGTAAATACTAATGAAAAGAATGTTAGTATAGCTATATTAATGTTAAACAAAATGGACTAAGTCAAGATGTATTATGGTAGAAAAGATTACTTCATAATAAAAAGTATCTATTTTAAATATATGTGCACTTAGTAATATAGCACCACATATATAATGGAAAACTGATAAAATCTCAAGAAGTAGAAAGACCACTGGTTTCAGTGGGGACTTACCCGTTTTTAGCACAAAAACTGATAAAATATTAAAAATGATTTAGAAGACAACCACAACACAACTAGAGCTAACAGGTCTAATTAGAATACTGCTTCCCGTGCTCGCAAGAATGCATCTCCCAGCCTCCACCTCACCGCCTGACCCTGGCAACAAACCTATTGTTTTACACATCGATCTTACCCTCACTTGCTCCATACTCAGCCTACTAAACTAACCAAATTCAAAACATGAAAGAAAAAATGAACTCAGCATCTTTCTTTTATAAAATTTTAACAAAACTCAACAGTTCAGATCAAATATAAGTAAGCTTAGGTGTTTCCATCCTCTCAATGCAACTCACCCTCACAAAGAGAATATACTTGTATTTTTTTCACAGATCACTGTGACCTCCTGAGTAATCATTATGAGTGTTGTTTTCCTACTAAAACCAAGTAGGAATTGCATTTACCAAATTCTTACAATTTATATTTTTCCCTCCAAAGCTATTTGTATTAGTGATGTGGCTAGGTTTTTTTACTTCAAGTGCACACTACAATAAATACTTTTCCATGCCATTTGAAAAAAATTAGGAAAAAAATTTAAACAAAGGTAAAACACAACGTTTATTTTTAACAGATTTTAAAATCAAGAGTCAAAACTGACAGCTTTATGGTTTTATGGTTTACTTTTTCCAACAGTTTTCAGACATTTTTAATTGTGAATACTTTTAGGTGAGTGTGTATTCTCCAGTTTGTCACAGGCCCCTCCAGCCTTGTGACACAGTATCTGACATCCACATGTACCTCCCTAGCCGAGTAGGCACTTGAGTTTGCCAATCTCTACTTTGTGTGAATAAACTAACAGTGATAAATGAATAGTTTCTTCCTATTTGCAGAAAACTTTTGACTGTATTTCGAATGACCTAAAAGGGGTAATTTTTCCAAGACAACTAAATTTTTGGCATCCTTACTTAAAAACATTTGGCCGGTCTTTTGTCAGTAACAACCTTTTCTAAATCAGCGAAATAGAATGTTGCATCATGTCTTTGATTTATTTGACTAAATTGTGTTCACAGCCACATTAGGTAATTTTGCATTATCAAATTATGCATGCTATATACTTACATGGTTATTTTCTATTGTATATTTGTAAATATATTCTAAAAGATTAAAATGCTTAAAGGAAATATTAATGACTTTTATATAACTTTTCAAACTTCCCTTTAAAAAATATCAGAACACCTTAAAATATTTTACATATACTTTACAAAATATTATTTTTTTATACTATTAAAGTCCAAGCTCATAGAATTACAGCAGGGAATTCATACTCACTATCTAGGGTATTAAATCTACAAGACCACATTCTTTTCTTAACAAAACTGACCTTTAGTAATATTAAAAGCTTTCTATTTAATACTTTGGGAAACAGTTGTGCAATACTTTGAATGAATTAAAGAATTTGGGAACTTGAAATGTTAAGCAGTTGCTATTTCTCCCATCTTTTTTCATGTGAACACTTCCTCATAGATCATTTTTAAATTATCATGTCTACCACTTGCTTGACAATTAGAACTCTTCTTAGCCAATATTAACAGCTTTCCAGTCAGCTGCAAGTAGTTTGTTCTTATAGTGCTGTGAATTCTTTTCTCTAATTTCCATCTTTACTCCTAGTCCAACTCTAGTTTGTCTTCATTTTGTTTTACTTTGTCTAATAAGATAAGCAAACATTTATTGGCAAAGGGAATTGGAAGTAATGCATAAAGGATGACTTCTTAAGGACTTTTCTTAATCCAACATTCCTTCAACAAGTGTTAAAAGCTTGTTAGTTTTTATGATTTATTCTAATATGTATCCTTAAAAATGAAAATGACAGAACTAGTTTAAATAGAAAATAATATTTTTTAAAAATTCTGAGATATAAAATAGCAAAACTCCCTGAGTTACTTTACAACCTGATTGAATACTGAAATTGTCTGAGGAGATTTTGAAATTGCAGATGTCCAGATACATCACCCAGAAATTCTAACTTAATTGGTTTGGAATGTATCCTGGATATGAGATTTTTAAAAACTCCCCAGATACCTCTAAAAGTACAACCACTATTGAGAACTACTGGCCTATCTGCAGATGATTCTCCATTCTTAACTTTGAATACACATGAAAATTAATGCATGCATTTTAAAAATATAGCTTCCCAGACTATACTTCCAGAGACTGAATTTCATTTTTTTCTGGGTGTTTTGTTTCTGTTTGGTTGGCTTTTATTTACTTTTTGTTTCTTTTTTTCAGTGTCATTATTTTAATATGAAATCAATGGTAAGAATTATTACTCAAGAATCAAGATGTTCATTGTCAGTTTTTTCATTTGTTTTGTTTTGATGACAAGTTATAACGTTTGTCAGCTAGAAGAGTTCACTGGCACAAAAATGTAGTTTTATAACTAAAGTGAATTAATTTTGTTTTAAAAATCATAATATTGTTTTAGGGTATACCAAGGAAAATGCAGCTCTAGACACTTTGCCATTGAGTGGTTTTAGATTTGATCTTCTTGTAATTTTTGGTCAAATATGTTAGTGTATTTTTGTCTATAAGTCAGAATTTTTGATTGATCTGTGAAAGCCTCTTGACAGAGTTACCACATCAGATTGGAAGTGGTTTGGGGTAATTCCTGTCATTGCTCTGCTGAAAAGAATGATGCCCCCAATACAGTATGAATGCTTACAAAAGAAGCACCAACTCACAAGTAGCTTCCTATAATACATGGACATAAAAATACCCCCTTGTGAATGTATACTATGAGGAAAGGTAAAAAGAAATTTAATTATTTTTTAAAATGCTGGCCATGCAAGTAACAAAGTTTATTTTTAAAATCCATTCAGTTGGGGCTTGCAAGGTGCAGAAAAAGAGGTGGAGACACGCGGTGCATCCCAAGTCTCACAACAGGCCCTAGTCTCGCGCGCGACAAAGTCTGGCCGCTTGCGCACCCTCTGCTGAGCTCCCAGCCTCGAGGGGGCGGGGCAAGGATGCAGGCGACAGGCGACAGAACGGTTGCGGGTAGTGCCGGTAACGTCTGCTCTGTGGGAACCATGGAGAATACCATCAAGGCAGACGACGCCAAGCCCGATGCAGACACCCTGCAGGTGCTGCGGGACCTGGCCAACCGCCTGCGGATTCACTCCATCAGGGCCACGTGTGCCTGCAACTCGGGCCACCCCACGTCGTGCTGCAGCGCGGCCGAGATCCTGTCCGTGCTCTTCTTCCACACGATGAGGTACAAACCGGCAGACCCAGGGCACCCCGACAATGACAGATTCGTCCTCTCCAAGGGCCACGCGGCTCCGATCCTCTATGCTGCTTGGGCAGAGGTGGGAGATGTCAGCGAGTCAGACTTGCTGAACTTGAGGAAGATTCACTGTGACTTGGAGGGACATCCCACCCCGAGACTGTCATTTGTTGATGTGGCAACCGGATCGCTCGGGCAAGGATTAGGTGCTGCGTGCGGCATGGCTTATACTGGCAAGTTCTTTGACGAGGCCAGCTACCGGGTGTTCTGCCTTATGGGAGACGGCGAATCCTCGGAAGGCTCCGTCTGGGAGGCGCTGGCCTTTGCTTCCCACTACAATTTGGACAATCTCGTGGCAGTCTTTGACGTGAACCGTTTGGGACAAAGTGGCCCCTCGCCCCTTGAGCACTGCACAGACATCTATCAGAAACGCTGTGAAGCCTTTGGCTGGAATACTTACGTAGTGGATGGCCATGATGTGGAGGCGTTGTGCCAAGCCTTTTGGGAAGCAGCTCAGGTGAAGAACAAACCCACTGCCATCGTTGCGAAGACCTTCAAGGGCCGGGGTATTCCAAACGTTGAAGATGCGGAAAACTGGCATGGAAAGCCAATGCCGAAAGAAAGAGCAGACGCGATCATCAAATTAATTGAGAGTCAGATACAAACCAA